CTTCAATGCCCTTGCTGATAGAAGGAGGTTTTCACTCAAAATCTCACGATTCATTCTTTCCTTTACACTGATCAGTCGTCCTGGTCCCTTTGCAGAAAAACAGCCCCAAAGCATGATGTTTCCACCCCCATGCTTCACAGTAGGTATGGTGTTCTTTGGATGCAACTCAGCATTCTTTGTCCTCCAAACACGACGAGTTGAGTTTTTACCAAAAAGTTCTATTTTGGTTTCATCTGACCATATGACATTCTCCCAATCCTCTTCTGGATCATCCAAATGCATTCTAGCAAACTTCACATGGGCCTGGACATGTACTGGCTTAAGCAGGGGGACACGTCTGGCACTGCAGGATTTGAGTCCCTGGCGGCGTAGTGTGTTACTGATGGTAGGCTTTGTTACTTTGGTCCCAGCTCTCTGCAGGTCATTCACTAGGTCCCCCCGTGTGGTTCTGGGATTTTTGCTCACCGTTCTTGTGATCATTTTGACCCCACGGGGTGAGATCTTGCGTGGAGCCCCAGATCGAGGGAGATTATCAGTGGTCTTGTATGTCTTCCATTTCCTAATAATTGCTCCCACAGTTGATTTCTTCAAACCAAGCTGCTTACCTATTGCAGATTCAGTCTTCCCAGCCTGGTGCAGGTCTACAATTTTGTTTCTGGTGTCCTTTGACAGCTCTTTGGTCTTGGCCATAGTGGAGTTTGGAGTGTGACTGTTTGAGGTTGTGGACAGGTGTCTTTTATACGGATAACAAGTTCAAACAGGTGCCATTAATACAGGTAACGAGTGGAGGACAGAGGAGCCTCTTAAAGAAGAAGTTACAGGTCTGTGAGAGCCAGAAATCTTGCTTGTTTGTAGGTGACCAAATACTTATTTTCCACCATAATTTGCAAATAAATTCATTAAAAATCCTACAATGTGATTTTCTGCATTTTTTTCTCTCAATTTGTCTGTCATAGTTGACGTGTACCTATGATGAAAATTACAGGCCTCTCTCATCTTTTTAAGTGGGAGAACTTGCACAATTGGTGGCTGACTAAATACTTTTTCCCCCCACTGTATGTATGGCGTCATGTGTGCGAGCGGTTTGCTGATTCGGTTTGCTGATGTCAATGTTGTTCACAGAGTGCTACGGACAACAAACACAATTGCATTTAATCGATGGCAATTTGAATGCACAGAGATACCGTGACGAGATCTTGAGGCCCATTGTCGTGCCATTCATCACCTCATGTTTTAGCATGATAATGCACAGCCACATGTCGCACGGATCTGTATACAATTCCTGGAAGCTGAAAATGTCCCAGTTCTTCCGTGGCCTGCATACTCACCAAACATGTCACCCATTGAGCATGTTTGGGATGCTCTGGATCGACGTGTACGACAGTGTGTTCTAGTTCCCGCCAATATCCAGAAACTTCACAACTTTCAATTGACTGATTTGCTTATACGAACTGTAACTCAGTAAAATCTTTGAAATTGTTGCACGTTGTTTTTATATTTTCTTATGTATGTGTTGGGCTGTATAGAATGTTTATTTGTATGTGTTGGGCTTTAGCTGAGATTATTCTTTACAGAGTCAAGTATATTTGTCCAAGCCTTAATTGTTCCCTGACTAACACCATTCATTCTTGCTGTCGCTAATTCTAATATTACAACTTCTAATAGTAACTGTATCCACTGGTTAAATGGGAGAGAGTGAGGTGATTGCCATCTAAGAGCCAACATATTTTTTTGCGGCAGTGCTGCCTGCCAGGGTACTTTTAAAGAAGCACTTAGTTAAGCACAGATAAAATGCACTCTTCAACTTTTCCCTTGTTGCAATATGACTGATGATAATCATTGTATGCATCGTGATTATGTTAATGAATTACTCACTTTGGATGTAACTTAGCAGCCAACATGTGTTAGAGAAATGCTTAGATGTCTACTTCGGTGATTATCATAAAACTCTTGTACTTGCAATGCTTGCTTACATTTCATGAGAAAAACACATACCACAGAGACATCTCTGCTAACAGAAACCACATCTTCCATCGTAGTGAGCCGAAGCACTGACAGTTTTTTTCACATTCTGTAGGTATTGCATGTCCTTAAATTGAACTTGCAATTTAGATGAACTTTTTATATTATACGATGTCTCCATCTCTTTCTTTGTTTGTTATTGATTTATTTCATTGAATAAGTTTAGGTGTAATATAAAGTATGTGGGTTTCTAAAATGGGCTATTGCGTAAGACACTACAGCAAACATGGTGACAGTGAGGCCTAATGCTCTAATGTGATGCAAGTGCAATATGAGTGAAGCCGTGAATACCATTCAGTCATTCTCTAGCTAGCTCTGATGTCAATGGCACAAATCGTATTAGTGATGTCATTTTAAACAGGTTTAGTGGCACTTCAAAGGTCAGTGCCAATGTCAGGAAGATTCAGACTGACTGACAGGCAGAGTTGGACAGAGTTACCGAACACAGGTCATGTTATGGTCAGATCATCCAGTGGTCTTAAACTAATCACACAGTACTTGCGATTTTAACTGCACTATTTATGAAAACAGACTGTTGGTAATTGTAATAAACGAAAAAATAATAAACCATTGGGATAATGTCATCATTTGTCTACTCGCAGTGGTTCTTAATCCTGGTCCTGGGGACCTAAAGGGACAAACATTTCGGTCTTTGCCCTTAGCACTACACATCTGATTCAAATAATCTAAGCTTGATGATGAGTTGATCATTTCAATCAGCTGTGTAGTGCTCGGGCAAAAACCCAAAACGTTTGTCCCTTTAGGTCCCCAGGACCAGGATTAAGAAACACAACTCTACTGTAATTTGAGCATAAAGGTGAAAATGTTATATCAAACGCTGTAGTGCCCCCTACTGGTGACTTCTCAAATCTCACAATGGAGGGCATTATGGGTAAAATATTTATATAAATATATAAACGTATCACCATCATTCAGGGGGAGAAACACTAGACCAAACCAACAACTTAATGTTGGCAAATATGTGTGAGGTGTCCATGACATATCTGCAGATTGTACACCAGATAATGAGATACAACCAAAGATTTTGGCATCCATTACTGGACGTTACATGTTGGCCTACACAAAACGTTGCCATAGATTCTTCAACTAACCTGGTATTGAGAGTATCGCCAATACCAGGTTAGTTGAAGAATCTATGGCAACGTTTTGTATAGGCAAACCTGGAACGTCCAGTAATGGATGCCAAAAATCTTTGGTTGTATCTCATTATCTGGTGTACAATCTGTAGTTATCCATAACAGTGCTGATTACTCTAGTCCTATCTGCATTATATAACTCAAACTAAAGCTAACGAATAAATACTAAAGTAACTTTAAAACAGCTGTGGTGCACAGTTACAGATTTTCCATTGCAATATTATGCAAATAATAATAATTGGAGGATAAAAAAGTAGGATTGTAAACACCAGATCTCATAAATAGAAGTCCAATCAACTACAGTAACAGCACCGATATGTTAGCATGTTGGGGCGGCAGGTAGCTTAGTGGTTAAGAGCGTTGTGCCAGTAACCGAAACGTCGCAGGTTCTAATCCCCGAGCCGACTAGGTGAAAAATCTGTCGATGTGCCCTTGAGCAAGGCACTTAACCCTAATTGCTTCTGTAAGTCGCTCTGGATAAGAGTGTCTGCTAAATGACGTAAATGTAAATGTTGAACAGAAAAGGAGTCTGTGTCTTTCACAGCCGTCAACAGGCTGCATACACTTAAACCTGTAACACAATATTACAAGAGGGTCTGAACTGAATGATAATGGATGTCAATGATAGGTTACTGTGAACTCAAAGATGGATAGATACTTTTTTATTACTGGTAACCTCTTCTCCCTTATTTATGACTCATTGACAATGGATGCTGTTGAATCCCTCCTCTACATTTGATTTCCCAAGGGAAAAAACACTTAAAATACCTAAAACGGTATCCATGCATATTTGTGATCAATTAACACAAGTCCTCCCAACCTACCACACACACAGACCATACAATCGGACTCACCCACTTTGCATTCTGGCGAGGAACATGCCTGAATGTTTTTATTTAATTCATTTTTGACCTAATGTACACTTCTGGTGCAGACATCATTATTACGTTACAATGTTGTTGTCAGGAAAAAATAAATCAAACAAACTGTTCTGAGAGAAAGAATAAGGTACCATGCAAAAAACAGATGAGCTAGTCATATCTGACATCACTAATATCAGTAGTTTCTCTTCTCCACCATCTACTGAACAGAACATGCACTGCTGTATTAAGCTAGTCAGTACACTGACATTTTTTGGTAAAGTTTGAAGATGCATGTGATTTAGAGATGTATTATACAAAATATGTTACATATGTACTACCATCTAACGCTCCCTCACTCCTTTATTTTCAAATTAATTTGTGTATTGATATCTATTGCAGAATACAGTATTCATATTTCCATCTGTAAAGATGTATTTAAATATCAATATAGTTGTGCAATTATTCAAAATCTTTATAATCTCTCCCTGCAATTTATTTTACACCAATTATGTATATTAGTTTTTCCTGCTTGTTCTAACATTGCATATCTTGAAAAGTAAAAGGCTTTCGACGCCACGGTGGGTGTATTATTGTTGAAAAACACTTACTAACCACACCATCCATCCCTTCTCTGAGTCCAAGAGGCACTGTCATCTGTTCCTGGTCAGCTCAGAGTGTGTCTGTGATACTGCCTCAATTTAATAACCCCCCCCCCCCCCCCCCCCGTATCTCCCTGTGCCAAAAGGTCAACCTCACAGTAACTACATGGATAGTTACAATTACCTTACTTTTTTTTTATCACGCTGCCCCTACCTTGACTATTCAGTAGACACTGCATTGGTATTGGAGTGAAGCATTTGCAAAGAGTATGGACGTTATCATCCTTCTTTCACATGTTCTTCTCTGATGATCTTCCTCTTCTTTTGTGCAATGGGTCAAGCTCCTGTGCTTCAGAGGGTTATAAAGAGGAGATCTTGACAGTTTCCTGGGTGTTGTAGGTACTGGACCGAGAGTTGCGTAGGATGCCAGGGATGGCGGGCGAGTTAGGTAGGCTCTCATCAGGAGTGTTGGCTGGGGGAGTGGGGATACTGATGATGGCTGCTGTGTAGTCATCACAGTTCAGCTTCAGGTCTTCGGTCCTGGCGTTTAGATTGGAGCGACTGCTCACACACGCACACAGAAATAAAGTTAGACAATTCACGTATCTGTCAATATTACTCCAAAATAGTTACATTTGTTTATGTTGAGAGGACTTTTATGTGTTACCATTGTAAATAGATCAGTGTATTCTAGACAAGTGGTTTGTTCTTCCACCGTCTGTATAGTGATACATCCATCACAGCAACTACGTATAAAAATGCAAACAATCTCACCATTATCAACTGATTCCCTTACAAATAAACGATCATTAGTCATACTACAGTGACAAATGAAATACATTTCCCCATGTTTTTAGGCTACATTTCTCATTAAACCCATGGAGGTTGTTTTGACAAACATCAACAGCATCAAAATAGTTAGAGCCAGCAGAGCTTGAACAACTTAGAAAATATTCGCCTCAGCTTGTAATTCAGGATCAGCAGAATGTTATTTTCAATTAATCGGCCTGAGCAAAATATACTAAAACATCAACAGCCTCTACAGATTATTGAGTGGTGGGGCAAAGATAGAAAGGGAGAGGTGGGCTCCTTGGATCAGGTGGATAGTGTGTGCGGTACTGTACCTCTGTGGGTACTGGGTACCAACAGGAGTCTTGGTGATGTGCAGCGTGGCCAGCTCCTGCACACTTCCCCGGCTGACAGATACGGTGGAGTTGGCAAGGCGGATAGCCCTCCTCTTGGACCGCCGGGAGCAGCAGGTGGTGGTGGCCCCCTGCTGGCTGGACAAGGAAGTGCTGCGGCTGGTGCGGAAGCCCACTGAGTCCATCATACACACCTCGCTGTAGGTGACTTCATCGGTGAATTCGTGATTCTGTCGACACATAAAAGAAAGAAAGACATCTATCCTGGCCTCTGAACGGCCTCACATCTTTAAACTAGCTGTAGGGAGCTGTATACTATATGATAGCTTCTCGTAACTGCTGAAAGTGAGAAACAGCGTGAAACACTGTTGAGTATATATACAGTACATCACAGTGAGTAATAAACTTATCCGACAAAATTATACATGAGATACTTGAAACATTTCCCAGGTGGAAAAAGCAGCACTCACAGTAGTTTTCTCCAAGCACTGCAATAGGTGATGATGTTGGTGCTCAAAGGCGGACCTGTTCTTCACACAAAGAGCTGTGCTGTCACTATCACCACCCTGAGGGACACAGCAAGACAACAACTCACTTAGCCCAACATAGCCCCATATGAAAGACATCGTCAGTGAAAACACAATCACATCAACAGTTGAATTAGTAGTTGGCAACTTATTGCTGTGGTAAGCAAACTTCACATTATAAACACAAGTGGGAGGTGATTTTGTCTAACAAACATTGTAGAATGAGTTATTATTTAGGCAATAATACAGTATACTGATGAGTAGCGCATATACTGATGAGTCGACAGTATACTGATGAGTCTATAGTATACTGATGCGTCGACAGTATACTGATGAGTCTATAGTATACTGATGCGTCGACAGTATACCTCCACAGCTTATTACTGAGTGACTGCCCTTGACTGTCTGATTGCACAGTGGCCTCCCTCTCTAGTGATGATAACCCGGGCACAAAGAACTGTCTCCTGTCCTCCCTGTGTACCCACGACAGCGTGGTCTCACACAGTTCCAACTCCATCATCAAGTTCGCTGACGAAAAATAGTATGCCTGATTACCAACAACGATGAGACGGCATACAGAGAGGAGGTAGGCAGCCTGACGTCGTGGTGCCAGGTAAACAACCTCTCCCTTAACGTCAGCAAAACAGAAGAGCTGATTGTGGACTTCAGGAGGAACCAGGCTGGGCACACCCCCATCCTCATCAACGGAGCCGCCATGGAGATGGTCAAAAACGTCAAGTTCCTCCGCGTACACATCTACGAGGCGCTGAAATGGTCAAACAACACGTACACCGTGGTGAAGAAGGCACGACAGCGACTCTTCAACCTCAGGATGCTGAAGAAATTCGGCCTGTCCCAGAGGGCCCTCACAGTATTCAACAGGAGCACCATCGAGAGCATACTGTCGGGCTGCATCAGAGCCTGGTACGGCAACTCCACCGCCGCGGACTGCAAGGCACTACAGAGGGTGGTCTGCTCAGCCGAACGCACCACTGGTGCACACTGCCTGCCCTCCAGGACACCTACAACACCAGGTGTCGCAGGAAGGCCAAGAAGTTCATCAGGGACCCCAGCAACACTAGCCACGGCCTGTTCTCCACGCTTTCACAGCCAGTTCTCCCCCCAAACATACATTTATCCACTGGCCCCTCCCTCCCCCCTGCACCCCCTCAACCCCCAATGGACATTTATACTCGTTAGTCACTTGTCACAATCTTTGTTTACACACTTCGCCACTTTTAACTGCAGCAACTGTATAGAATTTTAAACTAGCTGTAAATATATATACAGTGGGGAGAACAAGTATTTGATACACTGCCAATTTTGCAGGTTTTCCTACTTACAAAGCATGTAGAGGTCTGTAATTTTTATCATAGGTACACTTCAACTGTGAGAGACGGAATCTAAAACCAAAATCCAGAAAATCACATTGTATGATTTTTAAGTAATTTATTTGTATTTTATTGCATGACATAAGTATTTGATTCATCAGAAAAGCAGAACTTAATATTTGGTACAGAAACCTTTGTTTGCAATTACAGAGATCATACGTTTCCTGTAGGTCTTGACCAGGTTTGCACACACTGCAGCAGGGATTTTGGCCCACTCCTCCATACAGACCTTCTCCAGATCCTTCGGGTTTCGGGGCTGTCGCTCGGCAATACGGACTTTCAGCTCCCTCCAACGATTTTCTATTGGGTTCAGGTCTGGAGACTGGCTAGGCCACTCCAGGACCTTGAGATGCTTCTTACGGAGCCACTCCTTAGTTGCCCTGGCTGTGTGTTTCAGGTCATTGTCATGCTGGAAGACCCAGCCACGACCCATCTTCAATGCTCTTACTGAGAGAAGGAGGTTGTTGGCCAAGATCTCGCGATACATGGCCCCATCCATCCTCCCCTCAATATGGTGCAGTCGTCCTGTCCCCTTTGCAGAAAAGCATCCCCAAAGAATGATGTTTCCACCTCCATGCTTCACGGTTGGGATGGTGTACTCATCCTTCTTCTTCCTCCAAACACGGCGAGTGGAGTTTAGACCAAAAAGCTATATTTTTGTCTCATCAGACCACACGACCTTCTCCCATTCCTCCTCTGGATCATCCAGATGGTCATTGGAAAACTTCAGACGGGCCTTGACATGCGCTGGCTTGAGCAGGGGGACCTTGCGTGCGCTGCAGGATTTTAATCAATGATGGCGTAGTGTGTTACTAATGATTTTCTTTGAGACTGTGGTCCCAGCTCTCTTCAGGTCATTGACCAGGTCCTGCCATGTAGTTATGGGCTGATCCCTCACCTTCCTCATGATCATTGATGCCCCACGAGGTGAGATCTTGCATGGAGCCCCAGACCGAGGGTGATTGACCGTCATCTTGAACTTCTTCCATTTTCTAATAATTGCGCCAACAGTTGTTGCCTTCTCACCAAGCTGCTTGCCTATTGTCCTGTAGCCCATCCCAGCCTTGTGCAGGTCTACAATTGTATCCCTGATGTCCTTACACAGCTCTCTGGTCTTGGCCATTGTGGAGAGGTTGGAGTCTGTTTGATTGAGTGTGTGGACAGGTGTCTTTTATACAGGTAACGAGTTCAAACAGGTGCAGTAAATACAGGTAATGAGTGGAGAACAGGAGGGCTTCTTAAAGAAAAACTAACAGGTCTGTGAGAGCCGGAATTCTTACTGGTTGGTAGGTGATCAAATACTTATGTCATGCAATAAAATGCAAATGAATTACTTACAAATCATACAATGTGATTTTCTGGATTTTTGTTTTAGATTCCGTCTCTCACAGTTGAAGTGTCCCTATGATAAAAATTACAGACCTCTACATGCTTTGGAAGTAGGAAAACCTGTGTCACGATCGTCTTCAAAATGAGCGGACCAAAGTGCAGCGCGTTGAGTGTTCATGACTTTTATTTATATAAAGCAACCACGAAAAAACAACAAATGACGATACGTGAAGTCCAAAAGTTACAAATACTGAAACATGGAACACTGGAACAACAGGAACAAAAACCCACAAACACAAGGTGAAAAACACACAGAATATATATGGCTCCCAATCAGAGATAACGAGCCGACAGCTGACACTCGTTACCTCCGATTGGGAGTCATTAACCAATTACCAAAAACACAAACAAATGAAACTCACCCATACCCAACACCACCAAATGAAATACACCCTGGCTCTAACACACAGTCCCGGAGCCAGAGTGTGACAGTACCCCCCCCCAAAGGCGCGGACTCCGACCGCGCCTAACCCAAAAAATGGGGAGGGCTGGGTGGGTGTTACTCCACGGAGGCGGCTCTGGCACTGGTCGTGATCCCCACCCCACCATAGTCATTACCCACTTAAGTAGCCTCCACCCATCGACCACCCTACATCCTAACCCCACTGGATTAAGGGGCAGCACCGGACTAAGAGGCAGCACCGGACTAAGGGGCAGCACCGGACTAAGGGGCAGCACCGGACTAAGGAGCAGCACCGAGCTAAGGGGCAGCACCGGACTAAGGGGCAGCACCAGGATAAGGGACAGCACCAGGATAAGGAGCAACACCGAGCTAAGGGGCAGCACCGGACTAAGGGGCAGCACCAGGATAAGGGACAGCACCAGGATAAGGAGCAACACCGAGCTAAGGGGCAGCACCGGACTAAATGGCGGATCCTGGCTGGCTGGCTCTGGCGGATCCTGGCTGGCTGGCGGATCCTGGCTGGACGGCTCTGGCGGATCCCGGCTAGACGGCTCTGGCGGATCCCGGCTGGACGGCTCTGGCGGATCCCGGCTGGACGGCTCTGGCGGATCCCGGCTGGACGGCTCTGGCGGATCCCGGCTGGACGGCTCTGGCGGATCCCGGCTGGACGGCTCTGGCGGATCCCGGCTGGACGGCTCTGGCGGATCCCGGCTGGACGTCTCTGGCGGATCCTGGCTGGACGGCTCATGGCTGGCTGACGGATCTGGCTGCTCATGGCTGGCTGACGGATCTGGCTGCTCATGGCTTGCTGACGGATCTGGCTGCTCATGGCTGGCTGACGGATCTGGCTGCTCATGGCTGGCTGACGGATCTGGCTGCTCATGGCTGGCTGACGGATCTGGCTGCTCATGGCTGGCTGACGGATCTGGCTGCTCATGGCTGGCTGACGGATCTGGCTGCTCATGGCTCATCTGGCTGCTCATGGCCGACTGACGGATCTGGCTGATCCTGTCTGGCGGAAGGCTCTGGCTGATCCTGTCTGGCAGAAGGCTCTGGCTGATCCTGTCTGGCAGAAGGCTCTGGCTGATCCTGTCTGGCAGAAGGCTCTGGCTGATCCTGTCTGGCGGAAGGCTCTGGCTGATCCTGTCTGGCGGAAGGCTCTAGCGGCTCCGGTCTGGCGGACGGCTCTGATGGCTCATGGCAGACGGGCGGCTTTGCAGGCTTTGGGCAGACGGGCAGTTCAGGCCCCGTTGGGCAGACGGCAGACTCTGGCCGTCTGAGGCGCATCGTAGGCCTGGTGCGTGGTGCCGGAACAGGAGGTACCGGGCTGAGGACACGCATCTCAGGGCTAGTGCGGGGAGAAGCAACAGGGCATGCAGGACCCTGGGGACGCACCGTAGGCCTGATGCGTGGTGCCGGAACTGGAGGTACCGGGCTGAGGACACGCATCTCAGGGCTAGTGCGGGAAGCAGCAACAGGGCATGCTTGGCCCTGGGGACGCACCGTAGGCCTGATGCGTGGTGCCGGAACTGGTCGGGCTGGGCTGGCGACGCGCACCGTACACTTGGTGCGGGTGGCAGGAACAGGCCGAACCGGGCTGGCGACGCACACCGTAGGCTTCCTACGAGGCTCAGGAACAGGCCGGACTGGGCTGGCGACGCGCACCGTACACTTGGTGCGGGTGGCAGGAACAGGTCGGGCTGGGCTGGCGACGCGCACCGTACACTTGGTGCGGGTGGCAGGAACAGGCCGAACCGGGCTGGCGACGCGCACCGTAGGCTTCCTACGAGGCTCAGGAACAGGCCGGGCTGGGCTGGCGACGCGCACCGTACACTTGGTGCGGGTGGCAGGAACAGGTCGGGCTGGGCTGGCGACGCGCACCGTACACTTGGTGCGGGTGGCAGGAACAGGCCGAACCGGGCTGGCGACGCGCACCGTAGGCTTCCTACGAGGCTCAGGAACAGGCCGGGCTGGGCTGGCGACGCGCACCGTACACTTGGTGCGGGTGGCAGGAACAGGCCGAACCGGGCTGGCGACGCGCACCGTACACTTAGTGCGAGGGGCCGGAACAGGCCGTACCGTACGGGGAACACACACTACTGGCTGTACCTCGGGATTAGGAACGGGCCGGACCGGACTGGTTACACACCCCAGTACCTCTCGCCGAGCCTCTACACCTTCCTTCCCTGCCTTTCCCAGTAGCCCCCTTAACCTGGTAGCTTCCTGAATCCGCCCCTTCTCTGCCTCCGTCAGCCCCCTTAACCTGGTAGCCTTCTGCATCTGTCTTGTGGCAGCCTCCTGCTGCTCAGTCGCCCAAGCCATGTGCCCCCCCCAAAAAATTTCTTGGGGTTGCCTCTCGTTCACGGGCTTCCAGCCTCGCCTTCGTGCTGCCTCCTCATACCACCTCCTCTCGGCTTTGGCTGCCTCCAGCTCTTCACGAGGGAGGCGATATTCTCCCGGTTGTGCCCAAGGACCCTTTCCGTCCAATAACTCTTCCCATGTCCAGACCCTCGGCTCCTGGACACGCTGCTTGGTCCTTTGATGGTGGGTTTTTCTGTCACGATCGTCTTCAAAATGAGCGGACCAAAGCGCAGCGCGTTGAGTGTTCATGACTTTTATTTATATAAAGCAACCACGAAAAAACAACAAATGACGATACGTGAAGTCCAAAAGTTACAAATACTGAAACACGGAACACGGAACACGGAACATGGAACACTGGAACAACAGGAACAAAAACCCACAAACACAAGGTGAAAAACACACAGAATATATATGGCTCCCAATCAGAGATAACGAGCCGACAGCTGACACTCGTTACCTCCGATTGGGAGTCATTAACCAATTACCAAAAACACAAACAAATGAAACTCACCCATACCCAACACCACCAAATGAAATACACCCTGGCTCTAACACACAGTCCCGGAGCCAGAGTGTGACAACCTGCAAAATCGGCAGTGTATCAAATACTTGTTCTCCCCACTGTATATACATATTGTAGAATAATAGTGAAGACATCAAAACAAATAAAAATACATTTTATATTTGAGATTCTTCAAATAGTCACCCTTTGCCTTGATGACAGCTTTGCACACTCTTAGCATTCTCTCAACCAGCTTCATGAGGTAGTCACCTGGAAAGCATTTCAATTAACAGGTGTGCCTTCTTTAAAATTTTAATTTGTGGAATTTCTTTCCTTCTTAATGCGTTTGAGCCAATCAGTTGTGTTGTGACAAGGTAGGGGTGGTATATAGAAGATAGCCCTATTTGGTAAAAGACCAAGTCCATATTATGGCAAGAACAGCTCAAATAAGCAAAGAGAAACTACAGTCCATCATTACTTTAAGACAAGAAGGTCAGTCAATACGGATAATTTCAAAACCATCAAGAGCTATGATTAAACTGGCTCTCATGAAGACCACCACAGGAAACACGAGCAATGAACATTAGACCAGTGGAAATGTGTCCTTTGGTCTGGACCCCAAATTGGAGATTTTTGGTTCCAACCGCTGTGTCTTTGTTCCCACCGTAAAGCACAGAGGAGGAGGTGTTATGCTTTGCTGGTGACACTGTCTGTGATTTATTTAGAATTCAAGGCACACTTAACCAGCATGGCTACAACAGCATTCTGCAGCGATACGCCATCCCATCTGGTTTGGGCTTAGTGGGACTATCATTTGTTTTTCAACAGGACAATGACCCAACACACCTCCAAGCTGTGTAAGGGCAATTTAACCAAGAAGGAGAGTGATGGAGTGCTGCATCAGATGACCTGGCCTCCACAATCCCCCGACCTCAACCCATTTGAGATGGTTTGGGGTGAGTCGGACGGCAGAGTGTAGGAAAAGCAGCCAACAAGTGCTCAGCATTTGTGGGAACATATGTGGGAACTTCTAGATTGTTGGAAAAGCATTCCAGGTGAGGCTGGTTGAGAAAATGCCAAGAGTGTGCAAAGCTGTCATCAAGGCAAAGGGTGGCTATTTGAAGAATCTCAAATATAAAATATATTTTGATTTGTTTAACACTTTTTTGGTTACTACATGAGAGAAAATAGTAAAAATAAAGAAAAACCCATGAATGAGTAGGTGTGTCCAAACTTATGACTGGTACTGTGTATATATATATATATATATATATATATATATATATATATATATATATATAGTTGAAGTCGGAAGTTTACATACACCTTAGCCAAATACATTTAAACTCAGTTTTTCACAATTCCTGACATTTAATCCTAGTAAATATTCCCTGTTTAAGGTCAGTTAGGATCACCACTTTATTTTAAGAATGTGAAATGTCAGAATAATAGTAGAGAGAATGATTTATTTCAGCTTTTATTTCTTTCATCACATTCCCAGTGGGTCAGAAGTTTACATACACTCAATTAGTATTTGGTAGCGTTGCCTTTAAATTGTTTAACTTGCGTCAAATGTTTCGGGTAGCATTCCACAAGCTTCCCACAATAAATTTGGTGAATTTTGGCCCATTCCTCCTGACAGAGCTTGTGTAACCGAGTCAGGTTTGTAGGCCTCCTTGCTCGCACACGCTTTTTCAGTTCTGCCCACAAATGTTCTATAGCATTGAGGTCAGGGCTTTGTGATGGCCTCTCCAAAACCTTGACTTTGTTGTCCTTAAGGCATTTTGCCACAACTTTGGAAGTATGCTTGGGGTCATTGTCCATTTGGAAGATCCATTTGCGACCAAGCTTTAACTTCCTGACTGATGTCTTGAGATGTTGCTTCAATATTTCCACATAATTTTCCTTCTTCATGATGCCATCTATTTTGTGAAGTGCACCAGTCCCTCCTGCAACAAAGCACCCCCACAGCATGATGCTGCCACCCCCGTACTTCACGGTTGGGATGGTGTTCTTCGGCTTGCAAGCACCCCCCTTTTTCCTCCAAACATAATGATGGTCATTATGGCCAAACAGTTCTATTTTTATTTCATCAGACCAGAGGGCTTTTCTCCAAAAAGTACGATCTTTGTCCCTATGTGCAGTTGCAAACCGTAGTCTGGCTTTTTTATGGCGGTTTTTCAGGTTATGTCGATATAGGACTTGTTTTACTCTGGATATAGATACTTTTGTACCTGTTTCCTCCAGAATCTTCACAAGGTCCTTTGCTGTTGTTCTGGGATTGATTTGCACTTTTCGCACCAAAGTACGTTCATTTCTAGGAGACAGAACGCGTCTCCTTCCTGAGCGGTATGACTGCTGCATGGTCCCATGGGGTTTATACTTGCGTACTATTGTTTGTACAGATGAACGTGGTACCTTCAGGCATTTGGAAATTGCTCCCAAGGATGAACCAGACTTGTGGAGGTCTACAATTTTTTTTCTGAGGTCTTGGCTGATTTCTTTTATTTTCCCATGATGTCAAGCAAAGAGGCACTGAGTTTGAAGGTAGGCCTTGAAATACATCCACAAGTACACCTCCAATTGACTCAAATTATGTCAATTAGCCTATCAGAAGCTTCTAAAGCCATGACATCATTTTCTGGAATTTTACAAGCTCTTTAAAGGCACAGTCAACTTAGTGTATGTAAACTTCTGACCCACTGGAAATGTGATACAGTGAATTATAAGTGAAATAAACAATCGTTGGAAAAATTACTTGTGTCATGCACAAAGTAGATGTCCTAACCGACTTGCCAAAACGATAGTTTGTTAACAAGAAATTTGTGGAGTGGTTGAAAAACGAGTTTTAATGACTCCAACCTAAGTGTATGTAAACTTTCGACTTCAACTGTATATTTACACAAGACAAGGTGCTGTCTTGTGATCTTTCTGTATTCTATTATTTTACTTAGTATTATTACTATTATTATTATTATATTATTATTGTTATTGTTTCACTCACTTCTCTTTGACCTGCATTGTTGGAGCTCAGAGCTTAAGAATTTCACTGTACCCTGCAATTACTGTACATCTGTGCATGTGACTAATAAACTCTGATGTGACTTGAACACACAGAACCCCAGAGGACCTCAGATGCTTCCTAAAAAGCTGTTTCTTTGTGGTTCGTTTCAGAGATAAAACAACTGGCTGTGGAGTTGAGATTTCCAGGTCAAGGTGGTTGAACACCATCATAACTGTTATAGACGGTGAACAGCCTGTCAAAATCATTAACATTCAGATGATCTAATCTGTTAGACTGAGAGAAATGAGTTTGCCAGGCTGGGAGGGAGGGATGGAGGGAGCAGGGAAACAGCTCTGTTAGTCACAAAGCCAGTCTGGAGACCTGTTGCAGCGTCACTACCGCTAAGGCACATCTGTTGGATTCACTACAGACATGTCCGATAACATCGTCCCACAAACTGATATAGAGACTATACTGCAGCCAAGACCAAGAAAAGACCTGGGAGAGAAAACAACACCTCTAGGTTTATAAATAGCTCTGCAGTCCTGTTAGTAATGGGTTTATAGATCCCTGCTCTCACTCTGGGATTGTAAATATTGGATTATAGTGACTTTCAACTGCTGAGAAGAAACAGAAACAAGATTACTCAGGACTCAACCTGGTGCATTAGTAAAGATGGGAATTCAGTCTCTCTCTATCTCTGCCTCTCCCTCCTCCTCTATCACCTGTAGTCCTTAAATCAGCAGGACGTCCTCTCATATTCCTCTGTCCTCCACTGGTGTGAAGAGAGATTAGGATACTGAAATATGCCTGTTAGGGAGAGGGATCACTTCTTCACCTCCCTCCCCTGGCTACGGCTATTAAGGAAAGTTACAGGAGATACTTACAGTTGCATTGTTTTCAATCATATTTGGCATCATAGAGTGTACACTCTTAGAAAAAAAAGGGTTATTCGTTTGTCCCCATAGGAGAACCCTTTTTGGTTTCAGGTAGTAAAACCCTTCGGTGGAGAAGCAGATAATATTTCAAACATTTTACACTATATGACATGCTTTTACACTATATGACGTGATTTTACACTATATGACGTGATTTTACACTATATGACGTGATTTTACACTATATGACATGATTTTACACTATATGACGTGATTTTACACTATATGACATGATTTTACACTACATTATGTGATTTTACACTATATGACGTAATTTTACACTATATGACATGATTTTACACTATATGACGTAATTTTACACTATATGACGTGATTTTACACTATATGACGTGATTTTACACTATATGACATGATTTTACACTATATGACGTGATTTTACACTATATGACATGATTTTACACTACATTATGTGATTTTACACTATATGACGTAATTTTACGCTATATGACATGATTTTACACTATATGATGTGATTTTACACTATATGACATGATTCTTCCTCAGGAGGGCAATAACTAGGGAAATCCAAGTGATAAAAAGGTAGATACTCTATGTTAGAATGTTTTATTTAGGTGAGGGTCTAGGTATTGGTAATACAACTGAGGTGAAAACAGCTAGGAGTGGAGGATGAATGCTGAGAGCAGCGAATTGCAACTCATCCTCTAGTAAATGTCTTTATCTGTTCTGGTCCCCGTTGCTAACATCATTACCTCTGTGTGTCCATAAACCACCTGTCCACGTCATCTGCTTTCTGTCCTCTGACTCGCTGATCTCGCATTAGGATTCCACATCTCACACACCTCACAGGAACGCCACATATAGCCAGGGACCTTATCTTGTTTGTTTAAAACTGTTTCTTTGCATACTGTCAATGAGACTTTGTCTCATTCTGGGGAGGGAAATAATACATATTTGCCAGGATTCCATTTTGGTGTAGCAAGTCATCCTTCATTATTGCAGGACTGACTCCGGTGGATAGATTTAATCAAGGGAAAGTTTGGGATGAAATATTAATGACTGTCAAAGTGACATTTGGGTTATTTTAAACGCTGTTGAAACTGAAGATGACTGATCCCTACAATGTGCTTTATTCATCAGTTTTTTTGTTGTTGGCAATCACAGTGACGTGACATTCTTATGCAGATTTCATGAAACTGCAGCAGAACGTCCTGGTGAAGGGAAGGTGTTCCAGAACAGGTAGAGAGCGCAAGAGATAGAAATCGAGAGAGAGAAAGAGAGACAGAGAGAACAGCAATCTGTCTGATTCTGAAGTAAATACAGTCATTACTGGACAAGAACAAGCTACAGTTAGTTACAAGCTACAGTTAGCTACAGTTAGTTACAAGCTACAGTTAGCTACAGTTAGTTACAAGCTACAGTTAGGTACAAGCTACAATAAATGATACAATGGCAACAAAACTGTCTCCAGAACAGAGAAATGCTTTAGCGTTATTTTAATTTTATCACAAAGCTGAACAAGTGTTTGATCTTATTAGTCCATCCAAGTATATTGTACATTTGAAATCCAAATGTGAACACGTGAAATAAGCGTGATTGTCTGTATATGAGCATAAGGAAACATTTGCTCATGTGATTTGCTCACCTGCAATCCCCCATCCTCTTTGTGCTGCAAGAATGCATTGGTGGCCCCTTTTTTAGCCATTCGAATCCTTGCCTGGCGCACTTTCTGCAGAATGGAAAAGAATTGGATGGAAATGCCTGTGTCAGCACTTGTTCCACATACAACCCAGTGAGCAATATCTGGGGAATAAATACAAAACTCCCATTTCACAAGACAGTGTGTTTCCTCATAGCTTTACGATAGGCTTTTGCCTGACAAGCACACCTAGATATTTGAAGGCAGAATCGTCCTACTTATTTGTCACACACACAGCATGCAATACAGCAAAAGAACTGCGGACCTTCACAACAATCTGACACAAACATGATGAGAATGACATCATGCCTCTCTCTCTCTTACCTGCTGTGCCCTCATCTTATCTGCCCTTTGGTTCTGGTGGTAGATCCTCGCGAAGTTGGAGACTATAACAGGCACAGGTAGAGCGATCACCAGCACACCACTGAGCGAGCAGATGGAGCCAAATATCTTGCCTGCTATGGAGTCTGGAACCATGTCTCCGTATCTGCAAACAGCAACAACAAGCCAGTGGGGGATTAATGTGAGCAACGCTTCTCTCGGGTCATTACCGTGACTATTGAGACAGAACAGTTACATCTCAACATCACAGTGTAGACAGACAGAAAGAGGTACAAACCAACTGCTGTGAATGTAAACGTGTCAATCATCCTGCCTTGAATTTCAAACAGTTTACTTTAGAATTGCTCTGAAACAAAAAAAAAAATGTGCCAGAAATAGATGACAATTACAGCACTCTACCGCCTTTGAGAAAAAGTATTGAAATTGGAATCAAACTCATACGGTGACAAGAGAATGAAATCACCTGAAGCATACTCTTACTACAGCATGTGTAGTGAGACTTCAATACTGTATATCCATTGTGACAAGTCTTCACTGTGCATGTGTGAACATTTGATTTATAATACATTACTTGTCAAAATTCAGAAACGTATCTTTGTAATTTACCACTTTATTAAAGAAAGGCTGATTAGGGAGTGAACCTTATTTCCAATAAGGGTTACATGGAGAAAAACGGACCTCTCTGAAATGAAAATGGATGGCCCTCCCTTCAGCAAGATATATTTTACCTAAACCCTCCCTGAATGCTTGAAAAAACAAAACAAGTGACCCTCCCCTCTACCCAAAATAATAATAAAAACATAAAGTGGATAGCAGAGGACATGCCTACCGTTTACCCTCACTTCCTGGACAGACCAGAAACTTAGATAGGCCTATGCAGTTTTAGAAACTGTTCTTCGTCCTGTAAGCATTACAATGCATTCATTTTGATAGCGCACAGGGCTGCGGACCAGAAGGTTGTGGGCTATCAGACCACGGTGCACAAGAGTAGGGTTGGAAATATCGTTTTTATTATAAAAACATTGCACAAATCTATCATCGTATTTGCGGGTCTGAGAAAAAAATTGCCTTTTATAAAAATGTCGTGCAACTCTACGTCATTTTACGTGACTAGAAACCTTAGCAGGATATTTTTTAATGCCACACAAATTACTGAAATTACAGGCTAGGAATGGACAGACAGATAGGCCGATGCGTTCATCTTTATCATATTTCTCCAATGCCAAATCAGAATGTCTTGTTTGCAACAAAATTGTCCCTGTTTGCAAATAATTAAATCTGAGACGTCATTATGCATGGTCTTTTAAAAATGTAGGCCTACCTTTCCACCCCAGACAGTCTAGGCCTACCGATGCAGAAACATTTAAACTTGAACTGCTGGCTACTCTTATTCCGTGGCTTAACCCAACGAGAGAAGGTCACAAGGGTTTCCCTAAAAGCTGTCTGGGTTTAAACATCTTCTATTTTTACAGAAAGTTAATAGCTCAATCAATTGATAGCGACAGAATTAGACTACTTTCCAAGCAAAGTTAATTTTCTGTCTCCTCGGCTATGAAAGGTTGTAGCTCAGCCAATGAATGTCATAGAAACGTAACAAAGATATCCCCATATGCATTCAGAGTCCCCTCTTTCCCGGGTATTATACAGCTTGTTTCAAGCAAAAAGCATCATGGACCAAATCGCAGTTATAGATCACGTTATTTAATTGGATCTGTTATATTTTCTTCAAAATGTTAAGCTAACAAGGGGTAGGCCAGGCCTATGCTTTTTGACTCTACTCCTGAACTGTCCCTATAGGGCTACACAGCACAGCCATTGGTTAGGCAGCACAAAAAAAAAAGGTTTTGATCAGGAAGAGCAGAGCGAGGCTCAGGGTTGGAATATCCATTGCAGTGTATAATGCAGCTTAGTTTTATTTACACCATCCCAGCAGCACAAAATAAGAAAGTTAATTTATAACTTTGCTCTGTGCTTCTCCCAGCATGCACTTTGTATAGCGTAGCCTACAGCCTATAGGCTATGGATCATTTGGTTGAGACCACACTAAATAGCCTATAGGTGCACTTGATATTGTGTGCCCAGCAGAGAATCAGAGATGAGGGGTGGCATCAGGCACACATAGATATATAGCCTAGTAAGCAACTCATTCTAAAACACTAAGAAATATTGAGATTTCATCTATTACAAATGACATGACCTCCCCTGGACTAGATTTAAACAATACTAAACCTTCCCCATGACTGAAAGTGAAAAAGCATTTCCCTCCAGGTCCCCATTCTGTACATTTTGAACCATCCCTTACCATGACTGAGAGTGATTATGCCAGAGCAATTCAGAAAAATCTCACTGAACACACACATGCTATCATGCACACACAGGCACACAAGTTGCTGGTGGTTGCCTCATAAAGTACACCATCTGGCCTCTGATTGGCATAGTTTGGTCCATAGATCACTGGTGCTGAGCTGAGCGACTGTTGAAAATAAATAAAAGTGGAGGGGTGTCAGAAGCCAGCCAGGTGTGGTGGAGACAACATTTCCCACATTCATCATTGCCATTGCAGTGCATTGGAGGAATATGCCACCTGAATTCTGATCAGCAAGCTGTCTCATTACAGTAAGGCCTACCCTACATAGAGAAGCTGTCCCATTACAGTAAGGCCTACCCTACATAGAGAAGCTGTCAGATTACAGTAAGGCCTACCCTACATAGAGAAGCTGGCCCATTACAGTAAGGCCTACCCTACATAGAGAAGCTGTCCCATTACAGTAAGGCCTACCCTACATAGAGAAGCTGTCCCATTACAGTAAGGCCTACCCTACATAGAGAAGCTGTCCCATTACAGTAAGGCCTACCCTACATAGAGAAGCTGTCCCATTACAGTAAGGCCTACCCGACATAGAGAAGCTGTGCTCCAACAGGGAAGGGGGCTGCTGTCCGAGACAAACACCACAAACCCCGGTAACACTTTGGATAGATGGTTTGTAGATGTTCAATAATTGTCATCCACATTTGAACTTACTGTCCACTAACCCTAACCCTAATCTTAACCATACCCTAACCCTTATTATAAACCTAACCCTAACCTTAACCATACCCTAACCCTTATTATAAACCTAACCCTAACCTTAGCAAGCAGCTGCTTATCAACATACAGTTTGATGATAGTATC